CTTACTGGTGACTTTTGTGCTTCCAAAGCAGCACACCCACTGTGACATTTCGCTGAATCACATGCTTCTGGTCGGAGTCACATTTACACTGATCACGTAGTCTTCCGCAATCTGACTCTCTAGGCTGCTTGGTGGCTATGAAAACTTGGAACACGTGCGACTCGAAGAGGTTCTCATGGACTTGACCGGTGGGGTCACTGAATGCATCGGGTTGCAAACAATCTACAGTGCACCGGCTATGAAACATGTGGAGTTCTATGAGAAAGTGGAACAAGCTCTAAAGGAGGGAACACTTATAATTCTCTGCACTGAGGTATGTGGTTGTGTACAAACCCCGTCTCGAAAATTCCCCATAAGCAAAGTATATTTTCATGCGAACATTCGATTAGGCCTGTGAGTGACAAATTCTTTTCCATATCTGCTCATTTGACCCGCCCAACTAGAACAATGAAGATTCCATCCGTCGCGCTCTGTTGGAACATGCAACCAGAGTAGCTTCATTTGATTTCGTTGAATCACATGCCCACAAATGCTGCTGCATAGCCTACCGTCGTTTGGTTTTCATTCGAAAAATTTTGATTGGTTTTGTGTAATGATTACATTTGTAAGAAATATGGGAGTCGTGCACTTAGATTTCTCACTTTAACATACGTACCATTCTGAACGCTGTTTGATAGCTATCCTCGATCAATATCGTACTGAGGCTATCAGCATCGGTTCACTGACGGTTGTCGTTTAGATGAAACATTGACGTATCTTTTATCTGCAGATGATTATACCCTTTTCGCCACATAGAAAACATAATAACCTGATGGATTACGAACCTCCGTAGTGTGTGTGTTTAAAACCTGTAGTTGTAGTAGAAGTCATACCTTGCACTGGCCACCGAAAGCTTCAAACAGGATATCAAATTGAATTTCTGGGTATTCCGTCAGTATTCGGACAACTGGACATTAAGCTGCCTTTTCTGACTGACCTTCAAGACTTTCATTTAGTCCTTCTCGCTTTATTGGCCCACCTTGGTTACTGCCTCATTCAAATAGCACATGTGAATCCATCTGCATAGCGAAATTCCCCTTTAGTTCCGAGATCTCCTCGCTACTTACAAGAGACAAGCAATCTGTTCAGGAAAGAGGGTATTCCACAAGGTTCGTGAGTCTTTCTCTGGGAATTTATCACTGTAGGGAGTAGTCCACACCAGACCACATGACGCTAACGGCGCGATCGCAGGATACTTGACACTGGATCCAATATAATCGCGCTGTTGATCAACCAAGCGTAGCTGTGTGATAGCGTTTACACGCCCACACGAAAGTTCCTATGCAGTGCCTCTTGATTTCCCAACATAGGCTAACTTTAGTTGCACAGTTAGTTTCCTCAATACCTACGAATTACGGACATCGCCGCTTTGTTACGCTCGCTCGTAACGCGTTTGGCAATCAAAAGTGCTGTTGTTTCGTTATCTGGTGGACCATCCTCATGCGATTTTTGTTATTGTGCACAAAGTTGCCAAGTAACTTTGGATACAGGCAAGAGATTTAATATGAAACATGTGGAGTTCTATGAGAAAGTGGAACAAGCTCTAAAGGAGGGAACACTTATAATTCTCTGCACTGAGGTATGTGGTTGTGTACAAACCCCGTCTCGAAAATTCCCCATAAGCAAAGTATATTTTCATGCGAACATTCGATTAGGCCTGTGAGTGACAAATTCTTTTCCATATCTGCTCATTTGACCCGCCCAACTAGAACAATGAAGATTCCATCCGTCGCGCTCTGTTGGAACATGCAACCAGAGTAGCTTCATTTGATTTCGTTGAATCACATGCCCACAAATGCTGCTGCATAGCCTACCGTCGTTTGGTTTTCATTCGAAAATTTTTGATTGGTTTTGTGTAATGATTACATTTGTAAGAAATATGGGAGTCGTGCACTTAGATTTCTCACTTTAACATACGTATTTTGAATTATGCATTCTGAACGCTATCCTCGATCAATATCGTACTGAGGCTATCAGCATCGGTTCACTGACGGTTGTCGTTTATGATGAAACATGGGGGAAATAGTTCCAGTTTGGCTACGACAGCTAGCCCCAGCCTCAGTTGTAATGGTGCATTATGAATTCACACATTATCGATCAAATCCAGCGGTGACTTTGTGAATGTAAATCGCCCCCGACTTAACAACACTGGCAACTAAATAGCCTGTTAGTGCGATCCTGGACTAGGGTAGTAAATTCACTTCTGACCGAATGAACCATATGTGCACTTTTAGCAACCAAATCAGAAGTGCAGACCCACTCCTTGCTCGTATACACAACCAGCTGATGTCCTGACAGCTAGGCATGTCTTCACATGTTTGCGCGATGGGACCACTCACCACCAACTTAAGCAGAAGGATAAATTCATATTCAACCCACCCATACAGTTAACCGCGATGTTGAAAGCCAAACGAACCTCATAAGTAAGCCTGATAGTATGATTTTCCTATTCAGTTAATTGAACAGGTCCTCATCCTTCACCTAGTACTTCTTGCAAAGAGTAAGTTTCTGAGCCGTAGCGAAGTACTGAACGCAATGCAGTCTTGTTGGCTCTGCTACTGGAGTCAACTCCATGAATATCATAGATTGACAGAATCCCATTCTAAGGGTGAATTTGTCTTTGACCAGACCCTCAGGACCATTGCACCTACCCAGGTCGGCTACCTGAAAGTACTTAGTCTGACTTGGGTCTTAACCCGTCCTGTAGCACCACTTTACACTGCGATTGTGGGGGAAATACCGAATCGCGCAGCAATGTTTAGGTTACTTACTATTGCCAACTTTTTCACAGGGCTATTTTGTCCGTGTACGCGCAGTCTATAAGCGCACACCCTTGAGACATCTTAACCTCACAGGCGCCGACCTTCCATCACCATATCAACAACAAATTGAGTAGACCTTTGTGGTGCCGCTAGCTTGGGTGAACTCGTGAGAAATTCTGCCCCATAACTTTATTCGACCAAGGGATATAGCATGCGACGCTTCTAGTTAGGTCAGAGTAGTTGGGATCAACAGTTTAAGCAAGAAGGATGGTCACTATCAATGGTTTGAGGCAGTGGGCCTGATACCTTCCCGTGTTTCTTACGGGATATTCCTCTTTTGTTCCCCTCTTGTTGGACAGCTTGCATTCACATTCCTGTTCGACTGGATTTGTTGTATCTGAGGTTCCTCTTAAATGGGGCCGATTGGATGGCTCTTCAAACTGCTCAGCAACTTCTATGTAGGATGCTGTTGCTGGTAAATTGCTGAGTTGTCTCCCGTGTCGAATGTTTCGCTGACGATATCCTTCTAACCGGTCGATCTAATCAACGGATACAAAGCACGGCTACTAACGGTACGGAAGCCTTCCACACCAACCACTCTCTTTTCAAACGCCTCGTCATTCAGCTTCTCACTGATCTGGGTGCATTTTCGTGGTCACGAGCTTGCGTTATCCATCATCTGATCTCAACGAAGTGCTTTGATTTGGACTATAGTCGTTCCTTTGCATCGGAAAGGCAGCAAAGACTATTTCAGTATGTGTTGTTTCACGTGCTCAATTAAGTCATCTAAGTCCTTATAGCCATGTTTGCGTTGGTTGCCTTCGAGGAGTTTTGGGTTTATCACAGTTTGATACTACCGGCTTCCGAAGTCCAGTGATAAACAGTATCGTCAAACGTTCACGCACTAAAGCACGATTAGCATCGAGTTTTTTTTCCTTTCCTCCTTGACTAACAGCCACATGATTCATTTGGTCCAGCGTTTGGTTTGGCCATGGTAATCAATGCAATCGTTTATGTTAGAAATGGTCTTTGTTGAACGCTTACTTAAAGGAGCCACTCCCGTTGCGTATGCAGTTAGTTCTAATTCCGATTTGACCACCAAGATGTGTCTTTGTAGGACACGGTCTGCCGGCGTGAGTATTCATGTCAATTTCAAAGGTAATAATGCCAGCGTTTTTCATTGATGGTGCAGTCCGGATTAATCTCCATGGAAGTTATCTTTCTCAGAGGCAGAGGTGGGGGCCTGTGGTACCATTTTCTCGCCATATGAGTTGAATCAAACCACCCTTTATTGGAATCCAGTCAAACAACATTAGTTTACTCCTGGTGCTAACCGCGATCTGCACACCATCCATCAGTGTAGGCCTTTGCCCATAGATCAGCAAAAACCCGGAAAATGGGGTTTGAAAAGACTACATTTATTTTGGGAGGTTAGTATGTAGGAACAAACTGAAGTATTGTATATTTGTTTCGGTGACAACACAAGTCGAGTTTATGATCTAGATAAGGGAAGTGAGTCTTTCTGGACACATTGCTGTCGTTGAAAGTTTGTATATGAAATGGATATCTAGGATTTTTTTAAGCATTGATTTGATTAGTTCTGACCAAAAAGAGGCTGGGTAAATGGATTTCGTTAAGTAAGATAATGCAGAAGCTTCTCTTGGAAAATGGGGAGTGCTTGGAATGAGGTGACGCTGAAAAAGAGGCTGCGAGAGCCATTTCGATCGCTGAATTCGGTTTATTTGAGACACCTTATTTCGCTTTCCTGATTCAGAATTCTTTCGCACAAGACAGTTGGAAAATGTACCGCTTTCTTCCCTGACCCTATCTGTAGTATTTGATCCCTGAAGCAGCGAACTTAAAGTTTTCCTTGAGATAATCCGCCCAGGGCCATTAGTTCCATAGTTTGCCTTTGGCTTCTTTGAGGGGTCCGGAAGTTAAGCGTGGAGTTCTGTGTCCTGGGGAATGCCTCATCCAGCCCCATCTGGGACTCAGTCTTTTTTTCAGCCGCGTTAACTAATTCGCTGGTGGTCGCGTTCACTTTTTGGGCGATCGAAGTTTTCGGTTTTGGGGTCAGACTTTTTCCAACTGTTCCTTCCTCGAAGACCACATCGCTGCTTCCCCGAATGTGCGTCTGTTGATCAGTTCTAAATCAATTCAGCGCACACTATGCCAATATCTCCAGACCATATCATAATGCGACCAACCGTTGTAGGTGAGGTTGCTGTTTTTTTGGCTGCATATTCCCCTTGGGCTTCATCAGTGAGCTTAGCAACGGAATTCCACTCTGGGTTCATTGTAACGCTCCGGACTGACTGCACTATCAGGAATAGTTTGGCGTCTGTTTTATGGTACACGTATTTTTCCGGTTACTAAGGCTCATTGGCCTTGTCGGACTTCTGATCGTTGTCTGTTACATGAATTAATCAATTTAGGATCACGTGACATTGCAGTTGTGAGTATACGGACACTACATTTATATCGCGTCACGTACACCGCCTGTGGACTGAAC